ACAGCACCCAAAGAAGGAGCACTGCCTCACAGAGCTGTTACAGAAGGCACCAGGCACCTCCTGACCTTCAGTCCACTAAAAAGACTGCTACTGCAGCACACAAACAGGTCCTTATGACCTACGGTTTCACAGGGATCCAAGAACAAACACTGCTGTTGCAGTACGTAAACAGGTCTGTATGACCTACAGTTTTATAGGAATCCAAAAGACAAACACTGCAGTTGCAATACATAAACAGGTCTGTATGACCTACAGTTTTACAGAGATCATATGACCTCTCAACAGAATGGAAGATACAAGGTGAAGTTCACCACACACCTAATCGGCAGACCTGGTACAGTGCCAACTTCAGGGCAGCCGAACAGTCAATGAGATCAAAGTAAAAAGAAAGAGCTACTTCAGTCCATCAACAGGGTAGCTGAACAGAAGTAACAGAAAAAGGAACACCACAGTCGAATATTAGGGCATCAACAGTCCATCAATGGGTGCAAAGAAACACAAAAAAAAACTTCAGTTGAATACCAGGGCACCCGAACAGTAGATGAATAGTAGATAATACCTTCTTGAACATCAGATGATAGCCTCTCTATAAACCAGAACTTTCCCTACGAACATCAGATGATAGCCTCTCTACAGCCGAACAGTCAATGTTGGCAGACTTCTTTGAACATCAAATAGAAAACTCTCTATAACCAGAACTCCTTTCTGCACTGGAAGATGAAAAGTCAGGCAGGCATCTTCTTGCTTAGGGTCGAACAGCAGATGGATACGGCTGGGAGATGAAGAGACTGACTGCTCGACATTGGAGGATGAACAAATCAGATTAGCTTGACATCACCCTTCAAGCCTGGACGACTTGCTCTGATACCATGTTGAGTAAGAGAAGAGAAGAGAAAAGAGAGGAGAAAAAGAGAGGAGAGGCAAGAGGACTGAGAGCCCAAAAGAACACTGCAGGCGTGTGCAGTATGTTATTATTTATACTAGGCTGGTCGTACAACATAAAGTATGAAGAAATTACAAAAGTACCCTTGCGGTACTAAACATGTGTACGACAACATCTGTCAACAAACCCCATTTTTGCTAATATTATAGATTCATCCTTCTTAACATAAGACATTTTTAAAAGAGGAGAAATTAATAATTAAAATTACAAAATCAACTTGCTCAATTATCCTTGTCAGATATAGGGTCCTCTTTTGGAGAGCAATTGAGATTCAAGAATGTAATCTGGAAAGATCTTTGTAATGTTTTGTGGTGTAATCTCTACACCAGGATGTAATTTGTGGTTTCTTTTCGTAAAATTCCCTTTTCTGTAATTATCAAAAAAAATCTACAGCACCTGTTAGGAAAAGTGACCTGTTACAAGTTGAAGGGACCACAAGAGCTAGGGACAGACTGAAAAAGACTTGGGTGGAAGTAACAATAAATGATTTAAGCACGCAAAATTTAACAATGGATATGACACTGAACGGAACAAAATGGCAAAACATGATTGATGTAGTTGACCCGATATAATTGGTACAAGGCATAGATGATGATGATGATGATGATGATGAATTGAAACAATATTCTAAGTTTTGATGCTAACATCAAGTCCAGTCTTGTTCAAGATCACAATGGGATAATGAAGTTTCAAGGTTTTCATCAAAATGCTAAGGAAATTTGAACAGGGCTTCGTTTAAATTCTCAAAACTGCTTGATATCAAAGTGAAATCTAGAAAATTCACAAAATATAATCAAAATTCAAAAGCTAAAGTGGATCCTATACATTTATTTAAAGGCCAATAAGTCAAAGTAATGGAAATCCATAAAAAAAAAAAAGTAAATGGTCTCAGTTTGAAAAATGATCAGGATTCAGTTTTTGCACATACCTGCATATCATGGAAGTCCTTTCCAGCATGTGGATTAACTTCAAACAGTGAATGGAGATACAAGTACAAGAAATGTCTGGAGTTGCACTTATTACAGGAATCTAAAAGTTGTGAAACCACTTCAGCCGGAGGAACCAAGTCCCTATGTTGGATCAGTAAGGAGACTGCACGTTTACAATCCAGTACCATCAGTTGGACAACCTGCAAAGCAGACAACCATAATAGCATAAACTTAAACATGTAAAGATGTAGCATATGTAATCAAACCAGAAAAAATGAGTCTCGCCTTCCATATCTAACAAAAGCATATTGTTGGATACAGTTCATTTCAAACTGAGACAAGATGCTGGCTCTTTAAATGAAAAAAAAATCAGTAAATTCTTATTTTCTTTAAAAACTACTAAAATGATATTATTACAAAAATTTTCAACTGATAAGAATTTATCATACCTTGTCGTAAATGGCATCATGCAAGTTATGCTTGTCGATGAAGTCAAATATATCAGGCTTCATAAGCTGAAAAGTGAAAACAAAATACAAAAACCAAACCTAAGCCCAAGGACAAAACATATGCCACAATTTCATGACTGCATTCTTGTGTCACTTGAGTGTAGGCATGTTACATGTACATGTTTTCATGTGTACTTGCAGCACTTACATCAGCATATAATGCAAGAGCCTTCTCGTATTGTGCATTGATTACATAAAGTTCTGCCAATGCCTGACATCAAAAGGAAATATCATTATGAGAGAAATCATACAGACAGAAAGAAATTAAAAAATATGTTATATTTGATAAAACCTCACCTCTTCAAGTGTCTCAGTCATAGATGAAGTTTTAAGCTTAGGTTCAATTGATGAAATCACAGTTGATGCAGAATATATCACTGGCGGCCAAGACTTAATAGTTGCCAAGAGGTCATTGTGGAAAGATGGATTCGTTGCCAGAGCTACAAGAGCTACCTGAAGATTAAAAATTAATACTCGCAGAGTGGGATCTTCCCCATTGGCATATCAGTGTGAACAATAGAAGACAGCCAGATTGGCTGGCATTCTTAACTTAATTACAGATTCATAAGCAGTTTACAGACCTCATAAGCAGTATCACGCAATCTTGGGTTTTCAGTTGGAATGTATGGGACCAACACAGGAAGCTGGCGGAGATGAGCAAAGTGGAAAACCCACCTGTAAGAAAGAAATCAGTAATTAACAAGAAATGTGCAGAATATCATAAAAGTTATCCTCTTTACAAGTTTTCTAGCCTCAGAACCAGACATTCAGGTCATTGATCCAGAACCCAATCCCAAAGCTGAGTTTTGAAATGAGTGGTTCTCCAAAACATTGACTTGGCAAAAGACTTCATAAGGATTTGTACTGAATAATATTTGTTTTAGGCATGTAGTAACACAAAATATGTTTAAAACATAAGCTATTAATCTTTTATTCTTTTTACTTCAAAATATATTTATTTTTTCACATATCTTTCTGTGAGCAGATCAGTGAGTCACATCCATTCTGGATTTCAGGACAGTGCATTTTACCTCTCCCATGCAGCAACAGATCCACGCAACAACTTGGGACACAAAGATGCAGCTTCAGCATATTTCCTTTCCAAAATCAAATGATCCAGGTAGCTTGATCCCACCTGAACATATCATGGATAAGAAAACAAATTAATTCTGTGCAAGAGTCAAAATATGACGATATCACAGAGATAACTGAACCTACAAAAGAAAGAATTCACCACATTTGCAGGCAAACCATTGAAATTTTCCGTACAAAAAGTTGCAACAGCATGTAAGTTGAAGTTCACGAGCACCCAATGTTTTTTCATATAATTGGAACTTTACAAAAGATCAAAAAGAAGATTTTTGTTCAAGAAAATGAGCATCTATATCTTTCAGTATCAGGACATCAAGATTCAATTAACAATAAAAACTGTAATCAATTAATTGTAAAACATACTTAAACATATAGCAGGTAGAATTTGCATTAATATAGAATACAGGAAAATTTTGTTCTGGAAAGTGGAAGTCATCTTTTTCCCTGAGCAGATGCTCATCAGATCCTGTTGCTGTAAGTGCAAGTGACAAAAAATCTAATAACATTATAGCCATGCTCAGAACGAAAAATATAATCGAGGACTAGCTGGTGACCTAAATTTCCTGTGCAAAAGACACAAATACCCTCAACTTGGTAAGGAATCAACACTCCCAACAGATCACTTCTCATAACATTCTCTCTTGAAAGCATGTCAACTGGAGAATTATCTGATCTAGGAAGCCATGGAACAAAGGATTCACAGTAGATGCCAAGGACCTTGCCCCTCTAATCTAGTAGCAATCTCCAGGAGCTACTGGATCTATTCTTTACTTTATCCATCTTATCACAATCTATGATATGAGTGTCACTCAATGATAATCGTTTTGATATCCCATAGACAATGATAACCTGAAATCTGTATCAATGTGAAGAGCTTGGCTCTTGCCAACCAAACCTGGCAATGCTAAAACTACTAAACAATCACTGTAAACCCTTGCAATTCCTGATGGACCCCATGTTACCTGGTGAACACAATCAAAATTTTAACCTGTGAACATTATTTCCCACAAAGGCATGTACAACATTTACTTATTTGTGGCCTCAAGTGTAAAATATACCAATAAACTTTGTCAGCATCACAGAAAGGATGAGAAGATGTTTTTGAGTCAGGTACTTTTTTTTAAGTATTGTATTAAAGAGCCAAAAAATTACATCAGCCCATGTACATTGAGAAGCTGTACATTGGGAATGTACAAAAGAAAAACTATCGTAAATACATCAAATATAAAGAGATTGTTGTAAAAAAAATTGTTAAATTGTATTCCTTGGAATGGATTCTGAATGCTAAGCCATGAGCACAGAAGGCCTTTAAAATTCCTCTTCACCACTGTCAAATCTTTTTTTTCTTTTTTATGTTTTCAAAGATTCATAGCTTTCTCTCCTTCCACAATCCACACCACCTAGCTGACAGAAGCTGGTAATATGCTCCACAAAACCTTTCCTTTCCTGCTTAGACCTTGCAGTCTCCACCCTTGAAAAAAGGCCCAGTAGAGATTTTGGAAAGCAACCCTTAACACCAAAATGGGACAGGGCCAGCAGTCATACTTGATAGGAAAAATTACAGTGAATGAATAGGCAGTTTGAGGATTCTGCACATTCTCCACATAATATGCATCTGTAACAGTGTTACTATTTAAGACCATACCTCTTCTCTTTAAGGTGTCAACTGTAAAACATCTTCCTAAAGCAGCTGTGTTAAAGTCTAGTCAACAGGGGTATTTTTGTCCTTATTTTTCCTTTGCTTTTAGTCTATCTATTCAAATAACTTACTGAGGGCATTATTCTAATTTTCGTCACATTATTAGAATCTGAAGATTACTTGGGTTGACAGAAAGAGAGAACTGTTTGATTCTCTCTCATGAAAACCCTTTTTCACATCTTTTCTCCTTTTACTCTCACCATCAACCAAACCTTTCTACTGTATTTTTCTTCCTTATTCTACTTTATTAACTGTTTCCTAAAGTTAATATGGTATCAGAGCCACATGTTTTGTTCTGACCTCGTCTAGACGTCTTTTTCAGCTTTTCCTCTAGAGAACTACCCCTGTCGACTAGACTTTAACAAGCTGTCCAAACAAGAAAAGCCACTTTTGATGGTATATAGTTCGTCCAAATTTTGGACCAAGGGAAATGGTTTTCCTGGCATTGGGTTATCATTTTCTAGAAAGAATGTACAGAGAACTGACCTGACTATTCCCAAGCCCATTTTCTTTCATCTGTAAGTTTGGCTGATGTGGATTGCCCAATCATTTAAGTTTCTTCAGATGCAGAGACTCCAAATCACTATTTTGATTCTGTTCACAACATTCCTCAACCAGAGCTTCCTTGTCTAAAGCTATTTCATATAGAGATGGGAAAAGATCCTGTAATGATGAATCTCCACACCATCTGTCTGTTCAGAACTGCACCCTATTCCCTTTGCCAAATTTGTATTTGACACCATGAATTTCAGCAGATGCTTTTTGAATGCAGTTGAAAATCCCACCTGCAATAATCTGAAATAAAAGAGAAGAAAAACAAGAGAGAAGAAGAAGATTGAAGGAGATGGAGGAAGAAGAAGGAAGAAAGGGAAGGAGAAGAGAGAATAGTTCAATCCTCTCTTCAGCCCCCCCAACAATATCTTTTATTCTTTAATTGTAAAGATGAGGACAATTACATGGTTACCCTTAGTAGGGCGGCCAGCACTAAAGACAATAATAAAATAGGGAAAAATAGGCCCATTACTAACAAACATCAGTCATAAACATAACTTAGAGGGAAAAAGAAACTAAGGCCCATTCGGCCCATCATCTCTACACTCCCACTCAAGCTGAGCATAGATGTCAATCATGCCCAGCTTGCTTACACAGTGCTATATCTTGGCCTTGAGAACAACCTTGGTCAAAACATCTGCTAACTATAGCTCTGAAGCAATGAAAGGAAGGCAAACATCTCTTAAAACTACCCTTTCTCTTATAAAATGCAGTCAACTTCAATATGCTTTGTCCTATCATGCTGAACCAGGTTGTGAGCTATGTTGATCGCAACCTGATTATCATAGTAAAGCATTAAGGGTTTATCATGTGAAATACCCATCTCCTCCAGAAGTGACCTGAGCCATAACAACTCTAAAACACCATGTGCCATTGCCCTGTACTTTGCCTCAGCTGAAGATCTAGCTACTACTGACTATTTCTTACTTCTCTAGGAGACAATGTTCCTCACAATCAAGGCATAATAACCAAATGTAGATATCTTACCATCAATACGACCATCCCAGTCAGCATTTGTGTAGGCTTCTATCTTCATGTGTCCATGCTTAGAGCAGAGGACACCCTTTTCCGGAGTCCCCTTCAAGTAACACAAAACCCATTCTGTAGCAGCCATATGTGTGCCTCTAGGGGCATGCATTAATTGACTAATCACACTAACAAGATATGAGATATTTGGCCGTGTCATGCAAAGGTAAAACAACTTCCCCAAAAGTCTCGAGAACACTCCCTGGTCTGCCAAAAGCTCACCATTATTAGCTAAGAGTTTATGGTTAGCATTAATAGGTGTAGAGGCAGGTTTGGCACCAATTTTCCTAGTCTCCATGAGAAGATCTAACACCTACTTCCATTGGCAAATGAAAATGCCATCATTAGACCTAGCAACTTTGATTCCAAGGAAATATCTCTCCTGACAGTATAGAATCGACTGGAAATAAGAGGGAGAAGGTAGAAGAGAAGAAGAGAGATTGGCAACACTAGAATAGTTCTGGCGGCGCCAAATTATATTAATGATTTTAGGGTGACTAAAAAGAAAGGGAAAAAGACCCTTGTGCCCTTGTTGTAAATAAAGTACAACAACAGCAATAAAAAAAGACTTTAAATAGCCCAAACAGACCCAAACAAGACAAAAATAATAAACAAGAAATAAAGTAAAATATTTCAACACTCCCCCTCAAGTTGGAGCATAGATGTCAATCATGCCCAACTTGTCACACAAACCATTATGCCACACATGATGAAGACCCTTGGTGAAGATGTCCGCAAGTTGTTCTTTTGAGCTAACATATGGAGTGCACACTTCTCCATTCACAAGTTTTTCTCTAATAAAATGCTTGTCCACTTCAATGTGTTTCGTCCTATCATGGAGGATTGGATTAGCAGCAATGTTGATAGCAGCTTTATTGTCGCAATAGAGTGGCATAGGGTTGTTAACTGCAAAACCCAGTTCACCTAGCAGGTTTCTTACCCACATGATTTCAGAAACTCCATGAGACAGCTCTGTATTCTGCTTCAGCACTAGATCTAGCCACCACACTTTGCTTCTTACTTCTCCAGGTGACCAAGTTTGCTCCTACAAAGGTACAATACCCATTAATAGACTTTCAGTCATCGACTGCCCTGGCCCAATCAGCATCAGTATACACTTCCACCTTCAAATGTCCATGTTTCTGGAACAGCAAACCAGCTCCTGGAAAATTCTTGAGGTATCTAAGGATCCTCTCTGCAGCTTCAAAGTGAGTTGTCCTAGGATTGTGCATGTAGAGAACAGTAATGCAGTCCCCACTGTGTTCGTTAGTTTATGATTATAGTTAGTTTCAGTTAGCAGTTTCAGTTGGTAGTTTTATTAGTTTTTTTTATTTCTTTTGCCATGTAAGCAGTAAGGGTAATTCAGCCCTTTCACCTTTTACTTGAGTATTAATATAAATTGTAGAGTGGGGTGACAAGATTGTCAACACTCTCTTCTCTGAATTCTTCTCTTTGAGTTCTTCTCTTCGTCTTCTTCTTTCTTTCTCAAATTTTTCTTTGTTTATTTCACATTGTACCTAGGACTGATTGCAGTCCTATTCGACTACTTGGTATCAGAGCCAACCTAGGAGTTTTTATGCTAGTCTAATCAGGCCGACTACATGAAAACCTCCTAGGGTTGGAAGTTTCAGCTGAGATATGTTCATCGGCTGGTTCTTGGAGATTGCTAGCAGTGTGCAATTGATGCCCAAAGGTTTGTAGGGCCTTGGAGAGTGTTCAGCAATCAGGAAGAATCAGAAGAAGGGAAGAAATCTCATTTTTAGGGT